GGGCTACTGCTGGACGCTTTTCTCTCACTCTTGGAAATGCATTTGGAAATTGTTTGTGTCCAAGCTATAGGGCTATGTGAAAATGCATTTGGGATGTTTCTGTGTTCTATGGCCTTCTTCTGTTTATGCATGAGGAAGTTCCAAAAACGCATCTGAGCTCCAAAACGTGGGAACGTACGGCTCGAAACGTGAGTTTTAAAAACGCAAGGTTCGAACGCACAAAACGTAAGTAACCAGGCAGCTAAGGCAAGAAGTTAAACATGCAAGAATCCATATTTTTCAGCCAACCCAAAAGGGTACAGTGTCGTCCCAACGCTTGCTGTGCCGGGCCACTGAGAGGTTCAACATCGTAAGATGCTCAAGCTGTAGAAAAATGTCTGGCAAAGCATCCACACAGCTGTGTGCCTCGTCTGAAACGTGATCTTCACACAATGCGATTCTGTGATGTTGGTGTCCTTGTGAGAGGCACAAAGAAACCAAACGGCGCCCGACGTAACTTGAGAGAGGAGGGGGTGAACGAAAGGTAGCAGGGAATCACAAGTAATCCGGGACTTTCCAGATTGGCCAGTTTGAAATCTCCAAAAGCCGAAAAAACCCTTTCCGACGCAATCTGTCCTGCTTTTTGCAATTTTTCGACCATTATTGAAGCCTAGACACTTCAAAAGCCATCTGTTTTTACGCGTTTCTCTGCCGAACCGCCACAAAAAACCTGTAAATAGCGTGGTTTGAGGCCCCTCTTGCAGACTGGAGGAGCTGAAAACACTAGTATTTACGGTGCTTTCTAGCCGTTGACAAAGAGCCGCGCCAGGGTGGAGTTGAAACGGGGGAGGCGTCGATATAGCGGGCGTTTTCTACTTTATAATGCTGTGCACACTTGAATCTCATGTTTGTGAAACGCAAGCTCGGCTTACCAAAAAATCAAGGACAGCATGTCTTGACACTGGTTACCTGCAGCGGCGCTGCGGCTTGGATGTCGTTTTTTAACCGCAAGTCTGTTTGCGGTCATTGTCTGCCGCCGTGCGAGTGAGGACCACACGAATTTTTGGGGCATCGATCACCAGAAAGTCAGTTATTTCTGAGTGTTCATAGTATGGCCGGTCATGGAACCACATGACACCATATGCTCGGCGGGCTCAGCGGGCTCAGCCGGCTGAGCGGGCTCAGCGGGCTCAGCGGGTTCAGCGGGCTCAGCGCGCTCGACGGGCTCAGTGGGCTCCGCGTTGGTGTGTTCTCTTAGCATTCGTCATTGCGTCCATCTATAGCGGCGTCATTGCGTCCATTTAGCGGCTACGTTGTTATCTTCGCTTACATTGATTGTATAAGTGCGCCGGCTGCATGGCCCCTAAGTGTTGAACATACGGCCCCCCCCCCCAGCCTCTAAAATGAAATGTCGGAGGGCGATTCTCGGTGAGATAGGCCTCCACTCTGGTGATAATTCATTTTTGCTAAATAGCAAAAGAAAACCTCAGGTAGCGTAACCGCTACCTTTCGTGAAATGCTGACGTTGATGTGGGCGAGATGGAAAAAGGCATTGAGGGTTTAAGCTTGCTGGAGATGGCACCAGGCACCTGGGGCCCTTTGCGGAGTTGCCTTTTTGCACATGAACAGCTTATAGCAGCATCCTGTCCACCAGTGCATTTGAGTCACTTAAGGGACCCTAACCAAAGCAGGTTCTGGACTGGAAACCGACAATGTTCCAAAGAGTGTTGCCAGTATTTGCCTCGAGCCTCGTGCTAACAAACCTGACTTAGTCTCCCACAATTTCAAGTGTCTAGTTCGCTGAGCAACAAACACATTAAAACAAATACATATGCATGTGTTTTCTCTTAAATGGACTGTCGGGTCTGTGTCAGCTCTCAAATTCCTGTTCTACAATTCCATTTGATTTATCCTGACATATTAATCTAAATAAAGCAGCTTTAGCAAAACATGTTTCCTGCCAAAGGCTCTGAACATCTCTGAACCAACCACCCGTCTCCGCCACGCCAACCGCCACGCCGAGCTACGTATCCCAGGAGGTTTCCCGACAGATCCAGCTCCACCAGCTGTGGCATGGCGCGAAGCAGGCGGAGCAGAGCGTCGCTGTCGCCGCGCGACGGCTCTCTCCTTGGGGATTGTCGTCGTTGTCGCGTGAGGCCGGGCTCAGTCACTGTCCCGGTGTCCGGGGGAGTGCTTTGGCTTTGAGGGATGATCGGTTCAAAGTAGACTGCAAGCAACAAGTCACAAGGACATTGTCCAAATTTCAAAAAGAAGTCGTCCACCAGGACTAAGTTGCGCGAAGCCCACAAGTATATACTATATTTTTGAAGTTCCTTCTTGCTTGAAGTGGTCCAGTGGGGACCTTTGGATTTTCGTGGTATACAAGGAATACACTGAAAAATGGATCCAATCGAATGACATCAAGTTCTCTTCCATCTCATTGTCATGATGGCTCGGATGCCTCGGCCGATGCCGCGATGCCATCGGCTTGTCCCCGTAGAATCCACCCGGTCTTGTAGCGAAGATGGACACACATGTCGGGGAGCCCCAAAAGACGTCAGTCCGGGGATGTCTGAGGCCTTCTCAGTGAGTCTACATCACCTGTGCTGAACTGCTGGGATAATTTTCCCGGCCCTAACTGATGCCCGCAACCAACCATCCATTTCACCTGGCGTCGGGCTCATCGTGGGTCGCGCCGCCAACACGCCCCGCAGGACCTCGTCAGGTGTGCATCCCACGCCCATGCACATGGATGCTCAGCGTCGTCGGGACATGCTGGAACAGTCATATGAAGGACACGAGCCACTGCCCATGTTAACCCGTGGCCAAGGTGCAAGGCTACGGCAGTTTGGCAGCCTCGTACGGGGCAAGTCCCTAGTCCATCAGAACTAGAAGATTGTCATTCAGCCTAATAAGGTTTAGAAGATGTCACCCGTACATCCTATGTGATTTACGTTGATCTGAGATTTTTCAAGTAGAGGGACCTACATGGAGATACAAATGCCATCAATGTGGCATCTTCAAGCACTCTGTCCGTAGATTCTGTGTCTTGGCCATGTCACGGTTCTTGTGGAAATTGCATTAGCTAGCATAGGATGCACCTTGGGCTGGAAATAAATGAAATTCTGTGGTAGCAAAAGAGATCCAAAGGGGTTGTCTTCAGTTCTCTAGTCAAAGTGCTTCGTGCCATCAGCTCCCTTCAAGCCTGCGGTCTGCTGCAGCTTCCGCTAAGGCCTCCAACTCGTTGGCTGAGAGTAGGCCATCACCTCGCTTGGTCTGCTCGAGACCCTCCGGCATTCCGACCAAACGATTACAAACGACTCCTTGTCCCATGACTGTTTCCAAGGTCGAAGGAGTTCCCAAAGGAGCTCCCATGGCTGTTCAAAGTACTTCAGTACTTCGGGTGTCTTCCAAGTTCCGGATACTGCATACCAATCGATGCCCCGACGCGCGATTCAACACGTTCCGGTGTTCGTGGACCAGGGCACTGTCATTGCCACGCGCGTCGGTGAGGCGTGGCGCTTGGTCGCTGCAGCCCAAGGTCAGTTGCTGGAGCCGTCCCAAGGAGAATGGAAGCGATGTGAGCCTCGAGGTGAGGAGCTTCAGCTTCATATCTCAGACTGCAAATCGACAGGGTGGAACCGTATTATGGAACAAACCATGTGGAACCATGTAGGTCTTTGGTGGCTTGTCAAAGACTTTGTGGACTTCATGCTTTCCTTACTCTTTCACCAAGGGTCTTGGAATGAGCAACAAGCCACAGGATACCGCAGGAATTGGTACCCAAGTGACACTGTACCAGGACGGGTGCTGTGGCGACTAAGGGAACTTGCAGCCTTTAGGTCCGTGTATTTCTTCTGGTTGGGCCTATGATGGCGGTTCTTGTTACCTCGAGTCATGCCATGCCCGTCCACACACGTGGGCTCCCGCAACTTCCAATGAGACGCGGGTGGTCTTCGGGGCCTGTTGGCGTGGCAGGTCCATGGGTCTTGGACGGACACTTCACAGAAAGGTAAAAGCTCTTTCGACATGAGATATAGGTTCTCAGAACTGTTCTCAGGATACCTCAGGATCTTAGTCCCTTTATTCTGCCCACACATGTTCTTTGCACACCTAGAGGGCCAAGGGCTGAGGGAGTCTTTGGAGATCCTGCAGGTCAGCGTGACACAGTTCTTCTTCGCGACAGTGGGCCCTTTGCTTCATCCATTGAGTCAGATTTCAACATGTCAAAAGACCGCTCCTCCAAAACAACTTTTCGACTTTCAAGCAACCACAAAAACACCTTTGGTGAGTCCATCCTCAAACAAAGCCCTTCCTGCCGAGGGCCCAGGGGCTCAGGAAGCTTCAGTTGATCCAAGAGGATCTGAAACTGCTCGTCGTCCAAAACACTCGGCATGGCCTCGCGTGGACACCACCAAGCAGCCGCACTGCAGCTGATTGGTGCTGAATTTCTTGTTGTTTTTCCTTGTGCATTCCAAAACTCCAACCACCAGCCCCGCGTGCGGACCCTCATGTCTGATTTCAACGTCATGACGGACATCTGAAGGAGAAACAAAAATGGCTTCGTTCTTCGCTTTTCTTTTGAACGGGACATCGCCGACGGATCAACCTTTCGGGCTCCCATCCGTCGCCGAGCGGAGTGCACGGCCCCTCCTTCAGCACCACGTCGATCCGTGGATCGGATGCCGTCAGCTGCGCCATAGGCCGCTGGGAAGCTAAGAGTTGCCCTGGTGCGGTGGAGCGATCTCCAGTCTGATCAGTCTGTGGATTTGTATGGTTTTGTGGGTTTTCGGAGGACCATGCATCACGGACGTTTGTAGATCAGCGGTTCCACTGCACAATTGATGAGCGCTTGATTGGTGGAATCACGTGGCACGCCGAAGAGGTTTGCTCAAGTCCAATCAGATTCAGGGGCTGAAGCAATGGAAGGTCCCTCCGCTGAACCTTGAGACTCTGTTCCCCGTGAGAATTAGAACCAGATTCGTCTTTCGGGAGCCCAGGGAGGCCTATGAAGCCTCTTTTTGGACCGGATGAGCGTATCCACTTTGAAGCAAGTCAAACATCCAGTCAACCCACCAAGGTTGAGATCGACATAGATCGACTAACATCTGAAAACACAGATACACTGCCACACAAAGAGCGCACAATGGATTATTATTACTCATATTGTCACATTGTCCTTATGGTTTGTCAACAACATTCCCCCTGATCTTGACGCCACTATTAAATGGCCAGTGCAGAACATGTCAGCACCAAACACTGCACGACAATGTGTGCTCCTATCGTGGAACATGTGCACACCCTGCACTGGCCATACTCCGCGCCTTCACTGCTCAAGGACACTGCATCCCAAGGCACGGATGAAACTCTCTGGAGCTCGAAGCCTTGGTGTCACTCTTCCAAAAACTCTTCCAGTCTCACGTCTCTCGCGCGCTCAGAGTTCGCGGGCGACTAGAGGCGACTTCTGGTTGAGAAGACCAATGATATCCAATGATCATCTGATGCTTGGTGGTTCCTACCGCCACTTGGTGTATTGGGATACATGGAGGATTGTTGACTTCTAATCAACACGCATTAAAAGCTCCGACATTTGGGTGTGAATTTCTTTTCTCGGGAGACCCTCCAATCACTCATTGGATTACTCCATCCTCTTCTGGGTCTTTGGCTGGTGCCCCTCTTCAATCAGACTCGGCAGCTCTAATGAAAAGATGTGCGTGGGCTCCACTCACTCAGTTGGCTCATTTGATGGGGGCAATCCCATCAACGGCCCCCAAGTAAGAGAAATATGGACAAATAACAGAGAAATGCCGCAAACACTTACAGCGATAGAACGACAACAGTCGTGAACCCCACTTCCAGATGTGGTGCTCCGCAGCTTCGGTGGTGCTCCGCTTCGGGCGAAAGCGGAACTAACCTTTGCTCGATGGAACTGGACCGCTCCATGGAACGATGCGGGTCCAAGGAGCAGAGTTCCCGCAAGGTGATGTCCGAGCACGGCACCTCGAGTTCCTTGGGTTTGAACATGGTATGACCATTGCCAGTCTCATCCAAAACGACTTGCCCGAACAACTAAAAAGATCATAAAAGTATCTCATCGATTCAAGAATCAGCGGCTGAAGCCTTTGGATTTTTGGAGCATGAACATCTTGGATTAGCAGGGTTCTTGGAAGTTCATATCTGTTTGAATGGTGTCCCAGCCCGAGGACGAGGCTTCAACATGTGTGCCATGGGGAACCCCATGCATCTAGTATAAACGAAGTCTCTGGCAAGCTCCAACCAATGCCCTGGTTGAAGGCCCTGACTAAATTGACTGTCAACCAGGAAAACATGCAAAACGAGATGCACCAGCCATGCAACAACCAACTACCAGTCTTCTCGAGTTCACCGGTGCCGGGGGCCCTTCCTTTTGTGCCTGGCCAGGTGCTGGTTCAGGCTTCAGGTTCAAAACCATCCATAGATTGCCAAAGCATCAAACATCATTGTCCCAAGTATCCCCCCAAAAATGACCAATGGCTGTGGACTCATGGCAGTCTTCTTGTGTCGCCAACCTTTGTGCCATCACCTTCTCCAAGGCACTGCCAAGGTCTCCCCTGAGAGTGTGATGCAAGGCACCCGCATTATGAGTGAGTCTTCTTCGATGACACGCAGGGCTTCATCAAATCCAAGGAGACAGGAGGACTGTCGGTGAATGCCTTTTGCTGGTCTTTGTTTATGGCATTGGAATGTGTACAACACTGGCAAATGCAACCATTTTCGATTTCTTACAATTCATAGACCAAAGCTTTGGTCGGTCCTTCAAGCTTATCTTTGAGCCAGTGGCTTCAGAGATTCAGCCTGGGGTGCCCATTTAGGTTCAAAGAATCCACGCATAGGAACTGCCTGGTGATCGAGTTTCTATATGACTCCTATGTAGGTTTTCTGCTAATTGGCAGTTTCATTGTGTTGGACAACCTTAGCTTGCTTTAAAACATCATTCAAGGACCTGAGGTCAAAGCCCCTGTTAGACAAGGTCCTGCAAATCATCAAATCTTGCTTGGTACCTCTCCAGAACAGTAGAAATGGACATGGGACAAGTCATAGATAGATAGATAGATAGATAGATAGATAAATAGATAGATAGATAGATAGATAATTAGATTAGATAATTAGATTAGATTAGATTAGATTAGATTAGATTAGATTAGATAGATAGATAGATAGAGAGATAGATAGAGATAGAGAGATAGAGATAGATAGAGATAGATAGAGATAGATAGAGATAGATAGAAATAGATAGAGATAGATAGAGATAGATAGAGATAGATAGAGAGAGATAAGAGAGATAGATAGAGAGAGAGATAAGAGAGATAGATAGATAGATAGATAGACAGATAGATAGATAGATAGATAGATAGATAGATAGAGATAGATAGATAGATAGATAGAATATAATAGATGTTTATATACCGCATACACCCCAAACCCACAATCATTCCCCAAACAAGTGCAATCTGAAACCGTAGTCTGAGTCTGTGCAATCTAAAACCAGAATTCGCTTGCGGGTAGAGAACCACGAAGGTAATCCCACTGGAATAGTACAGTAGGCATGACTACACCCACACAATTCAGTACACATTGTCAACAATTGTTTCGCCAAACGTGGATGCTTCTAAGACCTGTGCTGTCAACCAAGTCTAGTTTCATCATTGAGGTATTTTGAAGTCTCCTCTCTAGATGTCTGACCACATTCTGACTGCATCGAACTGCCAAAGCACTTGGCACAGGCCCACAGTAGCCGTGTCAACTGCGCAGGAGTAAATTCTGGCAACTGCCGTTGCGCCGAGGACAGCAAGGCAGTCACCTGTCAGCAACGTCAAGGCGATCACCATCAGCCAGCACTGACCACGTGTTGAAGTCAGAACACTCTCCGACGAAACGGGGTCGGTCTTCCATCTTCCATGGTCTTGTTTTTGGGGATTGTAATTTTAGATAACCCAACCAGGATCAGCTAGAGCAGCTAGAGCTTGTCTGTCAAGCTTTGTGCTTGGGCTTCCAGTGCAGTATGATGCCGATGTGATGCGTGTCGGAGAGACTCAGAAAACATGGTGTTTCCAAAATACTGGCTTTGCCCAATACTACTTGCTCGGCCGACAGCAAGTCCTTCTTGCAGATTTGCGGTAGAACATTGTCTGTTTCATGTGGACAACCAGCGGGCGATGATGCTTCCATCAGCATTGTAAGGACTGATTCCCACCACCTGAGACAGTACTGGGATACTTTGGCGACTCCATGCATGATGCATGTTTTCCATATTTTCCAGGTCGTCATCTTCCCTGTGATGCCTACCCTATCCACACCGCTCGACACTGCTGCCGAAGTGAGCCCGAGAGCGGACCATCCGAGACCTGCTCCTCGCCGGGGTCGTAGTTGAAGCGCGCGCAGGACCAGAGGATACCGGAGAGGCCTGTGATACCCGACGGGAGGAGCGTGGCGGGCGTGAAGGGATGAGCAAATGAAAACAAGCCTAATACAAACCCGAAAATAAGTGAACATGTAAAGCATGGTGTAACTCGGTGCAAATGAAACATATATGTAAACATCTGTAAACTTATCAGGGGTTACCTAGTAGCTGTTGTTCTTCTGGTGACCTGAAACACAATTCAATATTGGCCGGAGGTGCGGAACTGATCCAACGACAACACATCCCAAGGTTGGATCGTCCCCAGTGTTGTAAGGAGTCACTCCAGGATGGCGGGCTGCCCCGAAAACTCCGCTGCTTTCGGAAGAATGGCGGGCTGCGGGCGAAGGTAGACAGAAGGATCAAGGTTGGTTGGTTGGTTGGTTGAACCATGTGATGGGCCAAATGATGCCAAATATATATGGCTACCATCCAAACCTACCATTGACCGGAAAACCATGGAACACCCGTCTCAAGCCGTACCAGTCTTTTCCCTACCGGCCCCTATAGGTTTGATTTCTTGAGCCGTAGCCAGCAGCGAATCTGTGAATCGGAGGATGGATCTTGGTCCGAGAGTTTGGGTCTCTTGCCAACGGATCTTGGGCACATGGCACATACGTCATGGTGGCACATGGCACATACGTGCCGTCTGCTCAAGCGTTACTCCAAATATTATGAAAGATTCTCAAGCTCAAGCTCAGTAAAATGTAGCTAACAAGCAATTTCTTGAGCCATCCTCAGTGCAATATCTATAGGAATACCGTTGGCAGTACCGTTGGCAACATTTTGTTGCTGTTGGCTGTTGTGTAGCCAAAGGATCAAATCATCAGGCATAAACATCAGTCTTTGTTCCTCAAGGCAAAACCACCTATATATTACAAACCATTACAGTACATACCCACTCCTTAATGCTTAATTTGTGGCCTCTGCGCGGAGAACATCGCGCCGGATGCCTTGTGCTCCACAGTAGTTGAAGGCCGGCACAGTCCCTGACAGCCATCAGCCGAGGAGAACTCAAGCACAGCCAAAGAACGTGTCAAGTGGGTCAATGACAACACAATGTTTGAAAACACAAGGAACCTTCGGTCCAAGGATGACATGATGATAAAAATAGGAAACACACATTAATCTCGAACCTCTGTCTGGAAAATATGACCAATTCACTGATCAATTCATCTTGTCATATACTTTTTCGGGTTCTGGATGCCATCACCACTGATGCATCACACGAGCACCGGTTTTGCATGCGACATCCCACCAGTTTGCTGGTCACGGAATGGAGAATTGGGTCGCCCACCGGCGAGACTAAACGGGCACGAGCTCCGCAACGTCTGCTTTAGCCAAGCTTCTGCTCAGCTTCTCCATGACCCTTCGAAGGAAGGCCGTGCCTAGCGCAGGGGCCGAAGGTCTGGCCCACACGATTCACTGCACTGCACCTTTCTTTTCTCCAGGTGAGATGTCTGTCTAGGTGAGCTGGTCCTGCAAAGACTTTGCAAGAATCCAAGTTTGGGAATCCTACAAAACAGCTACACAATATCTGTGGGTGCCAGTCTTAGGACCTTTGGACAGCGGTCTTGAGTATGTGAGTATCTCTGGCGCAATTGGTCTCTTGTTTGCCAGTCCGTTCGTGTGTCGCTTCCTGTTTCAGCCATCTTCATTTGGCCCCAGCATTCTCTTTTGGAGCTACTAATCCATTCTGGGGCCACTTGTTCAACCACTGGCCACATCGTTGCTTGGCACCGGAGCATGGCCGTGTCTCCATGTCGCATGTCAAACGGCCCGCCTGGGTTGTGCCCCAGGAGGCCGTAGACCCAAAGGACGTAGGATAAACCGCGTGGCCCTCAGTGGGTCCGGCCACGAAATCAGTGCATCTGGGGCCCTGGGGATGAGTTGAACTCGGTAACCTGGAGTTCAAAACCAATACCTTCGTTGGATGAACAAAGTCCACCTATTTCTGTGTTGCCTATGCTAGGCATTCAGGTCAAACAGACAGCAGGAGGGTTTGGTGCGCGTCTTGTCGCTCGGATCTTGGAACCCTCCAAGTCGGCTTACAAGAAATGTGCGATTGATGCGGAATGCACGATTCTGATCCCAAGTCGGTACAAATGGATGAATCCTTGGATGCCTTGACTTGGAGCATCAAGAGTTCTGTTCCCTTAAACTCAAGTAAAACGCACACTATGTATCAGTATGGCATGGATAATTCCAACATATTCCAACTATATATTTATATAGAGTATATAATTACTCATTAACTATACTCAATATATAGTCCCCAATCACCAAAATGTCCACAGCGCTCAGCAGCTAACAGCACTCATGGTCCCACTGAACCCCTTCCACTCACGTTCTTCACGTTGGCTCAGCTCGCGGCTCAGCTCGGTCAACTCGCGGTTGGAGCGGAAGGGCAGGGCCCGCAGCAGTGCGAGGCTCGGGTCCAACTGGAGCTTGTTGCAGGACCACCTTGAAACGCGTCTTTTTTCGCCGGAAACAGCATGGAACACGTGCGGAAGATATGACCTCGAAGATGCTTACAGAGGTTGAAGAACCTTCGATAGCTTGTTGTTGTTCTCACATGTAGCAGGCATTTAAAACTTATCTAATCTAAACACGTTCCAGTTCATATGGCAAAAAAAAACCACTCGGGCTGCCTTGGTGAGTCAGAGTCTTTTTCCGAACTTGTGGGGTCAGAATGAACCAATCTAGCGATGTTGGAAACCCGCAATGAAAGCCCTTGGAATGACGGGAATTGTTCCAAGCTTTGGGCTGTGAATTCAAAAGTAGGGAACACAAACTCCTTGCATCTAGCATGGACCAGCAGTCCCTCGAAATCATCTTTGGGGAACTGGGCACACAACCTCTGCTCGTCAGTGTACAGCTCACTACCTTGCCCATTTATTGCAGGCACAAGAAAAGGCTCGTAGAACAGCAAAAGAACCGCAAAGAACGACTTGTATAATCTTCAATCTTCCCAAACTTCACTTCGAGCAGCGACCTATTCATACTTATTCCTTCCGTAAACAACTGGTACTTCCTGTCTGGCGACGACACGCCGCATTGTATTGCAAACCTCTGATGGGAAGATTATTATCCCCTGTGAAGATCCGTTCTCCTGCATGGCAAGGCGAAGAAGCCATGATGTCGTTGATCTGACAATGAACAAGAAATCAAAACACATCCACATCACCAAGGCAAAAAGACACCAAGGCAAAGCACATCCTACAAACACCAACCCCCAAAAACGACTCACTACCGCCTCGCGCATTAAAACGGCCCAGGCACAAAAGGCTCGCCAACTTGGCTGGTTCGAAGCCTTGTGCAGCACGCCACACAGCACCGTGAAGCTTCATAATGTTTGATGGTTTGTATGGTTGGTTTGTTGATTCTTCATGTCTGATAGTTTGTGGTTGGTGTTATTCCTAGTTCGTCTTCGTTCAAGGGGTTGTTATGCTAGGTCATCCACAACCAAATCCTGTAGCGCAGCTAGCGTCGCCACGTGGGTCAAGCAGGGTAAACGAGATAGTTAGTTATGGCTCCAGAGAGGCAAATGGATGCGGAGACTCATGTCTATTTCCGGGCCTCTGCAAGAACGTCTGTGACCATTAAAAAACGGTGGACATCAAAAGCTGCACCACAAATACAATGATCATTACCAACATTTACCAACAAGGGTTTTGGTCAATGTGACATGATGCGACTTGCTTGCCTCAAGTGCAACATCTTCCAATGCAGTCCAGGATGGTGCTATGATGGATTCATGTTTTGAGAAGCTCATCTGAATTGGTCATATCACACCTGTTCCACCGAGTCCAGCTGAGCTTCGCTGGAAGCGCAATGCGCTTCACATTGGTGGGAGAACTGAGGGTGGCACCGACCTAGGGATGAATTCAAACATCTTCAAATGCCCAAGAGGTCGACGCCAAGGAGCTATCCACTTGCGCTTCCTTGGGTGCGAGAAAAGTTGTGGAGTTGTGGAGCTGTTGGGGAACGCGATGTCTTCGACGGCTTTGGAGCAACTCAGGACTGATGTGTTCTTGTGTTCCAAAAGCTTGCTTGGGCAAACATTTTCAGTAATATGAGGGTTGACTGTTGACCAAATGAAAAGAAAACAACTACGTGCTCCGCTACTGCTACATGCTACGTGCTACGTCTTGTGCTGACCTGCCACGACTTCGGTGCGCATTGGGTGCCCAAGTGGCGGCCTGCTGTAGCAAGGGCCTCAAGACCTCGCCCCGAGACACGTTCAGCTTCGCAAAGGCCCACAGCAAGTTCGCGATATCCACCTCCGAATCTGTCCCGATTGGTGGCGAAGGGGGCGCTCAGATTCGCGGGGCGCTCCATCGACGACGCCCAAAAAAGGCGGAGATGGAGGTCACTAGACGCCAGGAGGTTCTTGGGCCGATCCAACAACTTTCAGGATCGATCCAGGAATCCAGGGATCCAAGGACGGTCTGGTTACCCGATGATTCGGGAGGGTGAGCGAACACCGCTGCATCGCCGAAGAGTTCCATGATTCATCTTCTAAACGAGATTCTATATGGGATCTTCTGAGAAACTCTGAGAATTCCCCCGCACTCCCTAAATTCATCATGGTTACCTGGTTGGCAGGGCCATTTTGCGAATACCAAACGGAGATGACAATGTACTAGAAGCTATCGATTCTCCCCCGGCCATGTCGTCCCCACCAGCACAAAGCTCTCCACCATCTTCAGGGATCGGGCGATGACCTGGGTGGCGACCAGGTCATAATGGACAGACCATGTCTTTAAAGCATGGGACATGTGGAAAATGCGTAGCAAACGACTCAGAACCCCCCCAACTGAGGTTTTCCCAGGACGATGACCGATCGACAACACGAAATTTTGCGGTGAAAGATGTCGATCTGCCGTCCAGTCTTGTGGGGACATGGCAACCTTGAGGACTACCTTGGGGTGTTTTCTGGTGCTTCTATGCTGGTTGACCTGTGAGGTACTTGCGAGGAGACACTGGCAGGCTTGATGAGCATCTGGTAACTGGTAGCACGGTTGCTCCGGCAACACTTCTTGCGCTGCACGGCAGCACTTCTGCTGCGGCCAAGCACTCACTTGCGCACCCCCAAATAACCTCACTTGCGCACTTCACCTCACTTGCGCACTTAGCACTCACTTGCGCACTTTCAGGGGGAAAGTGAAGGTGAAAGGACATTCAACCACCAACAATCTATTGGGTGGGGGGGTAGGAGAAAATGAAAAGATACTCAACCACCAAACAATGTAAGTTCTTGCACCTGACATGTACTTAGGTGAGGTTACTGAGGCAGGAGAGTCACTTGCGCATCGCAAAATGGGTCACTTGCGCATCGGGGGTCACTTGCGCATCGGAGAGTCACTTACGCATCGACTTCATCGACTCAGCGGGTCACTTGCGCATCGATGGGAAATGATGGTGAGATGTGGGAATTGTTAATGATCTCAATTTGGCCCACGCGGCCACATCATCACATCTTACATCCGGGCGGGGTGGGGGGGTGGGGTGGGTGGGGATCTAATGGAATGATTGGCCCACGCGGCCACATCATCACATGATTTGGTGCTTGTTTTCAATTCACTGATTCGACCTGTGACGCTTCAGCAATCCGCAGTTTGAAACTCTCTACATCTGGGAGCGCTCATTAGGACAGGGCATCGGGCTTGGGTGTTCCTTCCAATCATTCGAACCACTAACATACCTTACTTATGTTTACCAGGGATCCTTTTGTCACTCCGCAGCATCGGTTGGGGCATCGGTTCGGCATCAGCCTATACACGGTGGTGGTGCTGGTCCTGGTAGTAATAGTAGTAGTAGTAGTAGCAGTAGTAGTACTAGTAGTAGTAGTACTAGTAGTAGTAGCAGTAGCAGTAGCAGTAGCAGGAGCAGCAGCAGCAGCAGGAGCAGTAGCAGTAGCAGTAGCAGTAGCAGTAGTAGTAGTAGTAGCATTCGTCATCGTCATCGTACAAGTGCACAAGCGAGGTAAATTTCAAGTGCACAAGCGAGTGCTCGCCCTCTGCTGCTCCCTATTCTCCTCGATGAACCCATTTTCGGTCGAAAGACCTAACCAACAATGTCTAACAATCAAACTTTGGTCAAACACACCAGGTGGCCATCAACCCATGATAGCACACCTCAGGCTTGTTCCACCATGAACTGCAAACGGTAAAACATGGTAAAACCATCTTGGACCATCTTGCAAAAACCGGACCAACCCGGTCTTCCGACTCCCAACGTTTCAACACCCGCCTGATACCTCGGACCTCAGTCGGTGCCCAAGTCGCGGCGTCCAGAAACGCCTCGCCCGGATGGAAGTTCAGCCTGGCGCCCGCTGCAGGCGACGAATCGTGCTGCGACGTCCAACGACGAAAGTGATGGCCGAGCGGAGCGCGCTGTTCGTTCTTGGAATGTGAAACTTCGAGCGGCCTATTCATAAAGCGGATTCAGACTCTTGTATTAGGAATGGTTCAGTTTACTGATGAGGAATCCCAAGTGAGGGTTGGCGGCCAAAATTCTGGATGGCGTAAACCCACAACCAGTATGCAAGTTTATAGTTTGCAATATGCCACAATCGTGGGTGATCCTTCTTCCACTCTTCATCCTCTCTGCGAATCGAGTGGAGCAGCGCTTTCTCTGCACCGTTTCGAGTGGGCAATAGTGAATTTGGTAAGGTGCACAGTGTTGCCTATTCGAACACCTATCTGCGCTGAACAACAATGATCAGTGATCAACCAGCATGGAAGTGAGAAACATCTCTAGTTCAGTGGAACAGTTGGGCGAAACTCTCGAAAACCAACAGGTTTCATGCGCCAAAACCCACGCCCCAACGGCATGGGACACCTCTACTCCCCGCAGTTTTGGGCAGTTCTTTTTGTGCCTGGCAAAAGACCAAAGGAGATTGGCCACATCCATTGGCTCAAACTCCTCCAAGGTACTGGCACAGGTCTTCACTAAGGCCTGCAAAAAATGCGAAAAAGCGGCTTTGGGTTGGTGATGAGACCGGTCATCGGTCATAAGACTCGCAAACTGAGGGGTTGGGACTGGTTCGGGTAGGTGGAAATACCAGATTGTGACCGATTGTGACATATATTCCACCAGATCGATCGCTTGGCAACTCTACTGCTGACACTACCATTTTTTTCCGTGAAGAACGCACCTTTGATCATCGCGAACGAACGGCGAATAATCATACAGAAGTCTTTCAAAACATTGAATCCCTTGATCGAACCACCTAATTTAGTGTGATGCACTTACCACCTATAGCTGAACCCAGAGGCCCAGGGGTCAAACAATCCTGCTGAGGATCTGTGTGAGTATCCATCTGAAATGGACATTAACGTAAAGGGATGCCGACTGACATCAAACAAGCACGCTTGGACTGTATATCCACCTGAAGAAATGACAGGTTGATGCAATATCCTGATCCTGCGGCATGAATATGCACTGAACTCATGAAAGTCTCAATCCCTTCCATCCTTTTGACCGACAAATTAGACTTGAAAAACGATGAGACACGCTACTGGTACTGTTTGGCATCATCACAGCAAATTGAACATCTGCAAATGCTTCTGATCTGTGCTGCAGAATCGTTTTTATACCCGCCAGCCAAGCTGTCCTTTCTCGGCCGAGTCCAGGCCTCTAGAAACTTGGGTCCGGGCTGGTACCCGAAACGCGCACAGGCCCAAAGGCTGTTGACCAGGTCCTGAAACGACGATGGAGCAACTTTCTCCAGCAGGTCTTAGGCGGAAAGCCAAAGGGTCCTGGCTTACAGCATCTCAAACATCACCTTCTGAGAGGGCTATGAATGACCAGGGCATGAACACATTCCCAGTTGACCAACCTTTAACAAGAGTCCTCTGGCTTGCCCAAACATCACCACAAATCCTCACATGACTCATTTATAATATACTACAAAAGCAAAACAAACCAACAAATTCAATATGAAACATGCCCAAATCAACAAACTAATCTGCGAATTGGCTCTGCCCAATGGTTCCAAGGATGTGAGACGACACTGTTGACAAAATAGCACGACATACAAAACACTTTCGAGCTTCGCGATACGGTGACCGTGGGCTGCATGAGATGAGGAGAAGTGGAAGTTCACTATGAAAGGCAAAGGTAGATCTTGTTGCAATTCAATCTGCAAACTCCGGATGACTTACATTGCTTCTTAGACATGATTGGTTCAACTTGGATGTCAGCAGTACATCCATGGTTGAAACCTGCCACACATGCTGTAGAATTGATAGAAGCGACCAAAGCAACTCCATGCAAGTTGATGAACCCAGGACTCTAATTTGATGCGCACTCTGTGCTGCAGGCCGTGAACACCATGCAGCCATAATATAGTGGATGACTGTCAGTCAGGTTTTTCCAAAACACCGTCTTGCATAATCCTGCATTTCCTGGTTCGTGAGAGTGGGAATAAAGGTGGAATCAGTGAAACCATTTGCCGCGCAAGTGCTTTTCACAAGAACTTCCCTCAGGAACGGCTCCGTCCATGGCTCTACCCCCGTCGAAGCCCGGCTCGACTCAGCTCCTGTGGCTTGGACTGTTGAAGCTGAGGCAGCGAAGCATCAATGACCTCGATCGATACAACCGGTGACGTCGATGAGCCACTTGTTGGTTTTCTCGTCTCACCGGGTCCCCCCAAAAGAAAAAAGAACATGGGCTCACTGGTGCAGGAGCCGGCAAATAGAATCACGAAAAGCCAACCAAACGGTTGGAAGATGGTAGACTGTAGAACTCCCTAACAGGAACCGAATGAATGACGGCGGACCGGAAGGCTCCTGATCAGAATGTGCGATTGGGTCAACTGATGTCAACTGTCAACATCTTGGGAGTGCCTTCCACATGCCGGGGGCAAAACGGCCGTATCTTGGACGGAATCAAAGAGTATCTCAGAAAATACTTATTTCATTGCAATGACATATCTTTTTTAGAATATCGGAATTTTGGCTGTCTGCATTCATGTTGACGTCGCAGCTGCATTCGATCTTTGGTAAACACTGGCCAAATGAGCCAGGAGATCATTGAGGACGCATCTCTAGTTTGAACATCCTTGAACGCATGGATACGCATGGTCATTCGTAATGCAAACTAAGGTATGATACAAGCCAGCTATAAGGTTAGAGATCACCATTGACCTTGTAGGCATGCATGCCATACAGTTCACCACGGGGGGTTTTCCCGAAACGCAAGCGTTAGCGACTTGCCAAACTCATGTGACCAAAGGACGCTACACGCATTTAACGTGAAAAAAGGATAAATCTGTTTGAACTACCCTCTTGGAAAATCAAACAAAAACCACAACTGTTTGATACTGTTTGCATGCACTTCACCTCACAATCAAATGTCCTAAGCACAAACAGACCACAACACAACGGACACTCCAAAAAGCTGAAACTGCTTGACCCGCCGAAACCTGCAGGTCCGGTCCGGTCGCTCCGACCATCCAAGGAACGGAGCGCAAGAAGGCCTCGCCCGGGTCGTATTCCACCTGGAGATGAGGCGTGGCGCCAGGCGGTCGGATCGCATTGCGATCGTATGCTTCTGCAGAGAACCGCAAAGGCTTTAATTACATATCATCGACCACGGCTATGGTGACTATGGCTGTGGTACTACCTGTGGTACCAAGCTACAACAGACCCGGCATGGGAACGACTGTCCTGCCACAAGTTCAAATCTGTCTGTCAGCTTCTAGTGCAACACAAAACTCCGCCGAGGTCTTATTACAAATATCACTACTTATATAGGTCAGACATCACTTCATTTTACCACATTGCCAAGTGCCCCCAAAAAACACAAGTCTTTTGTCCAGAGGCCCAAAACTCACAAAGAATTTTAAGAACATGCCTGAGTTGGACATGTTAAGGTGATAAACCGTGATCGGAAGACCAGTCCGTGCCAACTGCCTGCCTCCTGGGCCAGCCTGCTTTTACAATATTTCATCTCGCGCCACCCATCACTACCCTGTGAGATCCTGTAAGCGAAAAGACACGTCTCCTCGTAGTGGCAGGGAGTACTGAGTTTAGAGCCCTGAACCACAGCTAAATCTCGTAAATCAGAGCCACATGGCTTCTTACCGAAGATCACTGAAGGTTCGTTTCGGAAGGTTAGCCGCTAGTGTCTCAACATGGCCTACTGGCTCCTCATCGGAATCCATGGGGGCGGTACAAATGCATCGTCCAAACAAAGCCATCGTTATTTGGCCATGCTCTTAACCCCTCGTCTCGTTCTCGCGGGCACTTGGGGCATCGCACCCGAGCCAAGGACCACAGCACGGTGGCCAAAGCTTGCGACCTGGCAGCGAGATGCGAGCGACACTGCTGAGCTCGCGGGACGAGCGGGTGGTCGGGTCCGTGCCTGAAGGTCGTGACGAGCTCACTGGTCCTCTGCCTCAGGAAGGCCCGGGATGAAGACCAATGACCAAGCCCCTGGATCTTGCGCAACTGTCTTTCTTAAGTGTTGAATGATTCAGCTGACATATTTACCATTGTCAGCGTCAAATCGCACCAACAATGTGTTTTTGTCTTTACCTGAGCATGTGCACATCCTGATCTGATAGTTTGATCTGGACGGACGTCCATACAGGTACTGTATTTCCGAAGTTAGATTGTCCACTAGTAGTTGGATTCATGCTGACTGAGCATTGTAGGTGTAAGCCGAGGGGCGGAGGTGTCCAATTGGTATGTGCGTCACGTGGGCTCAACAAGTCACCATGTCCTAGTCTTCAAATGTACGTCCTCTTTGTTGTCCTCTGATCCTGGAATCATGCAAAGAACGTCCCGGAGAAAAAAGGCAAACATCTCATCAAAAGAAATGTCAATAAATAGACGAAGTAAAATTATCAAAGTAAGAGACACTGTAATACTACTGCAGTATTGCTTTGGTACTGATAGGTGTATCTCAAATTCTGCAAACCTTTGAAAAGCCTCGTGGACACCTCCAACCTCAACGGCTCCCCACGTAGCCCTCCTCCCCGTGTGGCTGTCCGTGCGGCAGAAGCTTCCGGAAGCCAGGATCTTCACCTGGGAGAATCGGCGGGCGACGGGCGAATCGGAGGGTCTTCCGACTTGAAGTAGATATGATAAGAGGTGAGATATGAGATGTTAAGCTCTTCCCCCAATCGTTTCAGGGTTTCAGGGCTTGTTTTCAAAACAATACAGCAAGATCATGTAAGATCGATTTCCTTCGAGCATGTGCTCGACTGTGTTTCTAAAGGGGAAGACGTTGCTTTTTGGATCGAACTTGGTAATGTGGTAGATTGATAACAATCAGCACCATCGCTCTGGTTGGTTGAGCTTTTTGTTAGGACCATGTGCGGTCAGTGAATACTGGTGAATACTGACAGTGAGTGATAGACAATCAAATCTTTGTTAGGCTCCAACTCATGAAAACTTAATTTCTTGGTCCGCTCGACAACATTTGGTTCAGCTTTCTTGAGGGACTGCCTTTCAGGTCGTAAGCAAGATTCTCTCAAGTTGACAGGGAGTGAAGTCCTTAGCAGCCATAGCAGGTGAAATAAGAAAGGAACATGCTCTCAAAGCCAAAGTGTTGGTTCCTTTTGGACCTCATTGCGGTAGAGGAGCCGAATGGAACATGTTGTCCAGACAGTCCGGACAACATTTACCTCTCCAGGCAAACACTTGATCTGTCCCTCAGAGATGTGTGGCGTCCCACAATGAGCAAACGTTGGCCTTAAAGAGAAACCAACTAGCTCGTTCAGTCTATGCTCCCTTGTCGCGTGGTCTAACTGGAGGGTGTCCACTTTTCAAGATGCACAAAATCGAGTGCTGCCCAAGGCAAATGATTCATGTTGATCACCTGAACCTTGATATGCGCAAGTCTGAGAGTCAGTCATTCATGATCCCTCATCACTAAGGATGTTGTTGGATGTGCTGTGGAACAAACTGATCCCGAGAAGAGTATCCACAGAACCCAATTGCTTTTCTGTTTCCTCGGGTCTTCTCCAGATTAATAATCAGCCCGAGAAGGTATCCCCTATGATTCACCGATTCACTACCGTTTGAGATGTGTTCAAGGCTGTATCCGGAACGGTTTGGAAGAACCCAGGAGTTAGATTGGGTAAACAAACTGATATATTGAACATATTAATACCTTACCGTTCAAAAGCCTGATGAATAGAGAATCTAGACACCAATCTAGAGAGGGCGGGTTCCTTTCCGTTCAATCAAGCAGCTTAATGCCGCTGTGCCGTTGGACTGTGCCAGGCGTGTGAGCGCAGCGCGCACGTGATACCTGAGAGGTTTGGTGAAAGGTCCCGAAACAAAACGAACCGATGTGCTAATGTTCCATGATAGGATTTAACATGATAGAGCTCCTGTATATAGCCCTGCCTCCATCATGCTTGACTTATCACGTTTGCTTTTACGTTTCTATGTTGTATATTGTACTACCTCTTTCTGATGGGCATGGTGTCCATGTGCATGAAACATCTTGGACCTCCAGGTGACAGGCGCAATGCTTGGAGAGAGCAATTTCAGGAAGGCCTACACTTCTTAAACGTGCATATAGCACTCGACCAGGATCTTCTTTCGGACACAATACGTTCAATCTCTATTGCTTGGCACATGTTGAACAAAGGAAAACCAATTCCTCTTGTAAGACCTGCTACACATGATCGATGATGGGTTCCACTTGTTAATTATACAAGCTAAACAACTATATAGTAGCACTCTCCATTCAATTGAGATGCTGTATAGTAGGCTTGAACATAGAAACCTTTCAGGGGGTGAAAACTTTCCTGGACCAAGGTTCTTCGCCAAAGTTCTGATAGTTTTACAAAACAAAAGCAACAACAACAAAAACAACAACAACAACATAGATTTGGCGTTCCAAATCATGCTAGCGTAATCCTTTTGTTCAAGCCATGTGGCCGAACTGGCTGGAAACAACATCTCTGTGCTACCAAGTTGCTCATTGAGAACATTCTCGTACTGTTCTACCTTACTCGGAATTGACACTTGGGACATGGCAGACCTCTTGGCAAACTCAGTCTCGAAGCGATAAATATGATACACAGATACATAGCGGACCGTCTATCTCAAGCATGATGGCAAAATTATCGAAAACAAATCAAAGCACTCTGGATTGGCTCCACAAGTATGGCCTCACTGGGATGCTGCAAATAAATGTGTTTCGATTGACAGTGGGCCATCTGATATCTGTGATGATTGAGATTATTTAACCCTGGATGGAGAAAGTCCCATGTTCCAATTGGCACAAACGCCATGGCCGAAAACGACCAAGACCCACGCATGGTCGCTGCGGTCATAAAGCTGATACGAGATGAATCGACATGATAACATCCCAAGCCACCATAAAAAGCACGTGGTTGGAGGTCTCCGCCGCTTTCAGTCTCCCTGTCAACTGCTGCGGCGTGATCGGAGCTGCACCCTCACCGCGGTTCGCCCCAGAGCCGGAGCTGCGAAGGCGAGGGCCCACAGAGAAGGCCTCGGTGTTGTTAATTCTTTGTTTTTTAGAGCACCTCTGTGAACGATCCACTTGAAAAAACTATATATATAGTATATTTATTTATGATTACTGGTTTCTTGTAGATCTTACAAAATCAGCCGTCTGTAAGACCTACCACAATCATAGAAATTGAACATGTCATGTGTGACAGGATAAAACCTAAGAGAATCCCCTTTCTTGGTGGGTACAAGCATGTGCAGTAAGGATTGACCAGTACCAACTATCCTGGATCCAAATGACACAGTGGATCCGGTGAATGTCCACGTAGCAATATAAGAAGCTACTAGTAACAAGTGCATCGCTTCTAGTAACAAGTGCCTTACTAGTAGTAACAAGAAGCCATTAAACACAAGAAGCTATTTGAAGGTTTAAACCACCATCGCCGATCGCCCTCAACTTGCCCCAAAAGGGAGAGAGTCGTCCGGCTTGACAGCTTGGCGGGGGGGTACTCCAAAGACCGTGGTATCACGGATCATTGCTTTTTTTGGGCCTGACTACCGCAGTTGCTGAGCTGGTTCTCACCTGTTTCGATTTGAAGACCTCCGAAGCAGCAGGATGGGTAGCAAGTTCCTGCTCCCCAAAAGTCTGACAGTGTACTGTAAGTGATGGATGTCTCCAACATCATGCTAAACTAATCTAAACTAAACTTTGTGACCCTCCCAGCAGAGAAAATGGTTCTAAATTGTCTTCCCAAGCCTTCTGACAAATCATTTGATGCGGCTATGTTCGTTTGGGGGAGTGTAACTTTGACATCTCAAGACTCGACTCCAAACGAGTCACTTGAAATCTTGAGTGACATGTCTCAGGCTTTCTCCATGTCGACCTTGCCCAAGAGTCTTACAATGGCCACAAACCGGCAAATCAACGTTAGTGTCCGATTGTATAGCAAAGGACAATACAGGACACACTATTGTGCTATGTTCGGCAGCCATCTCGGTGCGACATGGAGATTGACCGTCTGAACTTTTGGACAAAGACCAAGGGGAATTCGTCTTTGTTTAGTAACCGTTCCTTGTTAGCTGTGTTTGATGAGATACCCTGAGTCAACCCTTCAATTCACCCTAACACATATACATAGATTATATACAAGTTGACAAGTATACTTTAAACAATACTAAAACATATACAAAACACCAGTGCCTCGGCTGTGAGTCAAGACTGCACCCCAACCAACCATGGTGATTCTCAACCGATCAAACAGTCGACAAGCTGGTGATGTGAACGGCAAGGGCTCGTCGAGGCGAGGCGAACTCAGCAAGGCTGCTGTGGCAAATCCAATTCTCTGGAAACTCCCAACGCCCGTGTCGTTTCCACCCGTCAACTGAAAACATCTAACAAACACATATATAATATATATTGTATATATATATATATAAACAATTCACAGAAACAAAATGAAAGAACGTACAAACATCATCAAACATCCAACGGCCTCCCTTCAGCGCTTCAATCCAGGATGCCAGCCATCCAGAGCTAAGCACTAAGCACCAAATGATCCCTCCGGATCGGTGATGAACGGCCCATCGCCGCATGAGGCGTCGAGGTCCCGTGGCGAACGCCCACGTGGAAGCGCGGTGGAAGGTTCCACGACCCGCGTGGGATGAGACCCAAGGATTCCGCACGTGCGATAGAGTGCTCTGGTTTTTGTGTTTCCTTTTTTCTTCTGACCATTCCACACACTGAATGCCTTTGAGGTTCATACAAGAAGCATTGGATGGCGCAAGCCTGTTCAAGCCTGTTCTTGGCAACTGGTTGAACCCTACCCTGCGGTAACTAGGGAACTTTTCTTGAACACGTCTCCATGTTCCTTGTCAAGTCTTTGCCGGAATGGTGGAAATGACAATGGAGATGAGGCATTAAGGCAATCTTCATTACCGCCAGCTTCAATGTTTCGACTGCTTGTTCTGGACATGATGCTGGTGCCTAAGAAGTCTGAGATGCGCAGGACCCGTATTGCCACAAAGTGATGTGACTGAGAGTTTGTTGCACGGAGGCTTCCCTAAAACAATAGTTTCAATAGTGCTCCACTCACATGTGCCGAAGATCCTCCCTGAAAGCAACATAGAAACTGGCAGAACATCCAAATGGCAATGGATGATGCATCTGCCCAGCCACTTCTATTTCCTGCCGTTCATGTTTGTTGAAGCCAAGTGCACAAACCAGCCACCATATGCAGTAAAATAAGTAATGGACAAAATAGGACAAAATAAGGGAGATACCATCCGAAACAGGCTCAAGATGGCTCAAGGAATGAGGGGATCGGATGTGGACCCACTCCCTGAAATAATCCCGGAAGTGTTAAACCCTTAGATGACCCTTTTCCTCTACGAAGCACAGTGCTTCAGAAATGACACGTGAACCGATGCGAAGAAGCCGGACGCTCCGCCCGACCGAGCTAACGGATGTTTGTCGACCACGGTGAATGACTGGAACCTCTAAAAGTGGTTGAACTGGGAAGATGATGTTTGAAGCGGTATTTGACCTAAACATGACATCACAGTTTGATGTTCGGTCTCACAAACAGTAGATTATGCCCACAGGCTGTTGGGGGGGGGCTAGGGGCCCGGCTTGGAGCGCCCTGAACACGCACACATGCATCGATGGTGAACCCCCTCCCTGTCGAACCCTCGACCGTAGGAGCTCACCCGCGGGGGGTCCGCACCGGGGCCGTGCTTCGGATTGCTGGTGATCACACTCTTCAACAGCGTCCGCGCCTCCGGCCGTGCTGAGTATGAGAGGATGTGCCCCGTGCTTCATGGGAGATCGTGCCATCACGGCCAGCTGTGTTCACCGTCGGCCATCCATTGGAGATCCTCTATTGAATGGGACTCAAAAACGGTTCGAAGTTGACGCCGTTCACCACTTGCGATTCCCAGAGTTACATCCGAATCGTGAAATCCTGGAATTTTCTCCATCCCTGGATGTGCCGGCTCGGCTTTCTGACCTTCCCACGGCAAAAAGAGACGGTCTCCCAACTTCCCACCCTATGGCCTCATGGCCCATGTTTAAGGTCCCATCCATTGAGAATTTGAGAATGAGTTGTTAGCATGTGTCAACCTGGCAGGGGCTCCCTGCGACCTCCGGTCACGGCAGCAAATTGCAGCAGTTAGCATGACTTCGATGTTCCCATGGAGAAGTTCCCACTTGGACCATAGCACAGCCTTGGACCGTGGCACAAGGTAGCTGTTCTCTGAGTCTTAAAAGATGCCGCTGCACTCGTCGCGCCTTCTTAATGTCACTGATATCGGCATCAGACTGAACCTGCCAAAAGCCCCGCTTGCCATCCACGCCAACATCGTCCGATGTGTCAAAGTGAGGGCACCACAGGGATCTGAGCCTTATCAGTGAAAATAAAACCACGGTTCCATGGTCAGGATTAAAGCCACGAGCCTTGGGAAAGGCAGCGTGTGTTTCCTGCCTCTTTTCCGCTAGCAACACAGTTTTCAGGGGCAAAGGCGCAACGACTGTAGCAACAAATGTTGGCTTGATTGCTCATCCCAAAGCTCCCCAACGGTCTTCTCATTCTTCTGAACCGAGAGAAGCTCACCCCGAGCAATTTGTCCCCAAAGGGGTGATAGTGCCCGAGGTCTTTTCACGACAGTGCAAGACGTGTAGATTTGGAGTACACCTTTTCCTAGAACGGTGAATCTATAGCCTTAATACAATTCTGCTGCTATATATAGAAATTGAGTTGATTATACAATATATATATTTATATGTATAACTATATATGTTATGTATATATATGCACTGTCATATAAAGTCTCTACAGCCAAAACAGCCAACACAGAAACCCGCGCAGCTTGACTGATGTGATTGGCCTGCAAAGCGTTCAAGTCCGTCAAGTAGCCTTTGGGATCCATGACCTCGACCGAAGCGTCGCGATCGATTGACCCTGAGAGTCGAGTGAAGCGAACAGGGAGCTGACCAAGACATGGTCCTTTAATAAGGGACCTTCCCCCTGGCCCCAGGATCCAAAAGAAAGGATATCTACAGCAACCCACATGCAGATATCCACAGCAATGTTTCTGGACTGTGCTTTTTGTGCCTTCTCCTCCCAGGTGCTGCGCCATTGTCTGAGGCTCAGACCGTCTGGCCTGTAACACTGTCCATGATCCTGGAGAGCATCCAGGCAACGAATTGTTCAGCCAAGTCAAAGAGTTCACACATTCGAATAGCACTGCACAGCCTAATTGTAGCGCAAATAGCGCTACTGCTTCTCCCGTCAGTGGCTCCCGTCTGCACTCTCCCGTCATTGCCGCAGAACCGTCCTGTCCAACTTCACGGCGAGAACCGTCCCTCGAGCTTCGCCCAACTCGTTCAGGGAGCCGCCCACGCTGTGGGGCGTCATCGGCCTCGGAGCGTCGTGAAACGACCCGAGGCCGAAGACGCATGGCCTACATGGCTTATGCTTGCCATAGGTGCCAAATCTGGTGTAGTGTAATGAGGGAAGACGTTGGGATGAACAAACATAGGAAAACCTGATCAAAGCTGCTTGAAAGAATCCTTGGGACTATATTGGGATCAATCCCCTTAGCCTAAAGCTCCCCTTTTGAGAACAAAATCGAATGGTGCAGTGGTGTGCAGTGATTTCAGCCCGAGCTGAAGGTAAGGAACTTGCTTAGCCTATCGCTGCCGAGTTGGGAAACACTGCTCTCATTGTCTTTCGAAAGACATCCGATCTTTTGACTCATGCCACTTGCTAGTTTTGTGACCGAGACTTCGACATAATGAGTTGCCAAACCCCCCTTTTGGGCTGCGATGCTGAGGCTATGTGAGTCTATTCCGACTGGACGATGTTTGACACGTATTACTATAGCCGCTGATGAAGTGATCTGACAGAGTCCAGTCAGTCTATCTGAAGGTTTCAGATCCATCCTGCTCAAAGACCATCCATCCGCACGGGGAGTATGCCGAAAGCCCCAGTGACTCATCATCCAATTTGGACATACCGAGAAGTTCATGCACTGCTCAATGAAGAGGACATCTTATCTCTAGTATGAACACGATCTTGGCGCCCCGAACGTGTGTGGCGTACCGTAGCCAGGTGTCCGCATGCCTGTGATAAGAGCGCATGTCGCTTGAACGTAAACGACCATGGTCCATGGTACAGAAGTTTGACAGTTTTTTTACTGCCCAATTCTTGTCAGCGAAGGCAGGTCGTTGTTCCGTTGTGCCCTAAGGAGTCCTAAGGAGCTATGCTCAGGGTATGTCTTGAGTCTCCAGCCTGTGGGGTTCCCGTTGAGGGATCATTGCAGGATCGAAAGCAGTTCTTCCAACATGTCTCCGCTCAGCCCGAACTTTAGTGGCTCAGGAATCGATCTGTTTTGGAATGGGAGGAATGGGAGGAATGGGAGGAAGCTCAAACATCTCAAAATACCTGATGATTTTTCAATGATTTTCTGCTTGGTAGAGTGTGTCCAGCAAGCAACTCCCTCCTGTTTGCGTCTTTTTCCCTTTTCCCTTGCAAAAAGATCACACAATCATCATACAACCCAAGTACCCCATCTATCAATTTGCATGGCAACCGCTATGTTCACGCGGTTCACGAGGCGTTCGGAAAGAAGCAGCCTGGCGTTCGCATTCCGCCATGCGGTGTTCGAGCACCCATGGGGGTGGCCATCCCCATGGGCGTTGCCATGCCCATCGGCGTATGCATGCCCTCAGTGAGCAGTTCATCCACATTGCTGGTTGGTGAAGAAGGGACATTGATGGAGGAAATTGCAGGGTTTGACTTCTCCAAAGCAGGCATTTCCTGGATTCCATTCCTTTCCCTCAATCCAATGCTACAAGTTCATCATCGTATGCAACGTAGAGACCTGTGTGCAGTCTATGTGCAGGTCAAAACATAGGAACACATCGCAGTTACAGTATCCATTCCGCAGTACTTGGGTGTTTTCAGTGCATTTGACATACACCCATCTGAAACTGCCTTTTCCCTTTCCCTGTTTATGCGGCCATTCCAACATACCTGAAAACGTCTGGTTTCGCATCACTCCAGGCTCAGTGCCATTGGAGTTCGAGCCATGGGCGTGTGCGCCATCGGAGTTCCCCTTGGCGCCACGCTTATATCCCCGTGCTCTCCGGAGGAAAAGGGGACATCTGAGCACCCCAAGCTGCTGCTCGGCACGAGGGAAAGCGGGGGTCGGTCCGGGTCCAAAACCCCGAGGAAATCCGATGCATTCATGCATCTTGGCACGCCGAACAACGCTGGTCTTGGGAGTCATCCACTGAGTGGGGGGTGAAAGAAGGGTGGATGCACTAAATCCTTTCCAGTGTCTTCTTCTGGGTGATCCTGAAAATTAACCATTGCCATGAACACTGCACGTCAACAAACAAACTATTTACAAACTTGCTAATGTTAAAGGATTTCATTGGACAATGAAACCATTGGCAATTTCCATTCTTCTTGTATGGATCTTGGCAAGGACGACATCCATCCGTACTGCAATTACTGATGTCAGCAACCGTTCAGTGCAAACAAAGCAGCCCGCAAATTTGTTCAACACCTCCGTAGGAATTGAAAAGCAGCTCACAATGTCAAGGTTGAGGAACAATCCAAAAAACACTGCAGTGTTGGATCCAGATTGACCTGGGACTGTCTGTAGCTTAGTTTCTTGCCAAAGCTTGGATTGGAAAGAGAGAAACAGCTGCATTAAACAATCGACTTTCCAGGGATTTCAGGTTTCAGAAAGAGGCTTCTGGCATAGTCAAAATCAACAGAATTCGAAAGAACACCTGGCAACCAGCTTCATTGTCATCTTTTGTTATGTACCGACCACGTTCTTTTATGTGGGCGACTGGGGTGAACAACCAGGGTGCAGTACAGTTTCATCTAGTTGTGCCTTCGTAGGTGATTCATTACCAAACCAATGAAGCAGTTGTCTAGCAGAAATCATCTCAATTAATGACTGTTCGACTTGCACTGAGCTTGGCACATGCCCGACATAGGAGTGGCCATCCCCATGGGCGTGTGCATTCCCATGGGAGTGTGCATGCCTGCCACTGCCAGTACCGGAAGGTTGGAAAGGCGTAGATCCAATACCAAAACAGCTGGATCAAGGGGATTGGCCTCCCAGCATCTTGTCCGTCACAATCCTTCACCCCATAACAACTATATCAGAGGTTTATGGAGCTTTGTCCACAAGAAAACACTTGCCAATTGCCAAGGGGTTTTAACCAATCTTGCCTCAAGCACAAAAGCGATTTGGCCCAGAACAGGACGGCACCGATGGCTAGACCAACAATTCCAATAGGCATCGGACTCCAAAGCCTCCCCTATTCCAATAGGCCGGCGAGGCCCATTGGAGTGTTCATGCCCATGGGTGAGCGCAGGCCCATGGGTGTACGCAAGCCCATCGGAGTACGAAGACCTTGGAGGCTTGGTGGGGTCACGTGGAACTCGTGTTCGGTGCAAAGATCCAGGGAGTACTGAGTACACACCGAAAGGATCAGGTCTCCGGAGGAATGGCTGTATCTTTTATTACATGCAGCGTATTTCCTGGTTGACAGCGTGAGTGGATCCACCAAACCACAGCTACACAAGGATGTGGATGGTGAAGAACTTTACCAAGTTTGTCTTTCAGGCACCGTCATCGTCAATCCTTCTCGTTTCGGAAGGTGCTGGAGGCTTTGGGGTGCAAGCCCTTGATGTAATGGATCCCAACAAACAAGTCCAAGGGTACTTCCAAGGGTGCTCACCCTGAAATTCCATCAATTTCACCCAGGTCATCTTCAGCGAGCTCGAGCGTGCTTGGTTCGTCAGGGCCCCCAGGCCCATTGGGGAGCGCATGCCTGGCATTGAGGACGGAACGGATTTCAAGAACCTTGAAAACACAGAAGATTCATCATGCCTCAAGGGCATTCATATGCCCCACATAGGGTGAAGCCCGCACATTGAGGAATAAGGGCAAGGTCTCCAAGCGGAAGGAGCTTACAGTCAAGCATGCCACATAGCACACCTTGGGCCTGAAACCAGTGACGTCTCTCTCTCTCTCTGTGTCCATGGAGTCAAGGTGGCCCCGCCAAAGCCCAGAAGCGTCTAAGATCACTGTCTAGTAAACACTCTCACACACAAACCTGCAGGTCACCTTAGTCTACCAACTGCAGGAGCCACTTGCAATTGGTGCATGTCCAATCATTTCCGGGTGGTTTTCTGCCAGGTCATGCACGATGCTCGCATCACGCCTCCCATGGGCGTTCGCATGCCCATTGGAGTTCCAAAGCCTTGACGAGACGATCAAAAGCTGAGTCAGATTGTGGAAATCCAAACAGCAATGAAATGGAAAAGAAAAGAACACAGTCTAGTGGATGCGTCGATTGAACATAAACCAAATGACTACACGTAGACATAAGCCCCAAACATAGATGACAAGAAACAGGCTGAGACAACAATGTCTCGCGCATGGTCGTTTCTGGTAGGCAAACTATCAACTGAGTCCCTGAGAGAAAAGTGAAACGCCTGCAAGATCCTACGAAGGTCTTTTGCTGTGGTAAGTAAGCTCCAGCAAAGGATTTCTCGACTTCCCATTTTGACTGCTCTGGAGAAGTGCCTCGTGTAGAAAGCTGGGTGGTCCAGGAACACCTCATGATCTCATTGATTAGGATAGCAAAGCGTGGATTCATGCGTCACGCCACCGAAATGTATGATGTCAATTTGATTTCTCACAGAAAATGTATGGAAGCCAACTTTTCCTGGGTTTACTTTCTTCTGGGGGATCTAAAGCCATGGCATGCCCTCCAAATCGCCCCCCAAAGCTACTTGGCCTCCCATGGGGGTAGCAGAACCACCCATGGGTGTAGCGGAGCCGCCTCAAAAAGCAGGGGCTCTGCCGAACACTGCCGGGAGCTGAGCCAAACATTGGGCGAGGTCCCAAGAACTGCTAGTTTTGTCTTCTTACACACTTCACGTGGCTATTGGAACGTGCCAAGGGCTCTAGACTGTCTAGACTCTAGTTTCTTGTGGCAATCAAGATTGAATTTACTTCATATACAGAACAAGGCTTATCGCCTCGCTTTCTTTCCAAAGCCATCTACCAGCATTTAGCCTGGTCTTGATTCACCAAATAGGTGTCAGCAAAGTTTGGATATCAGAATAGTCTCTTGATAGAACATGGATGCAGGAGTGTTCAACTGTTTCATATTAATTTTACTCGTAAAACAATCTATGATATGATATATGTTATACAAATTGAACTGAGTAGTGTGTGAACAGTACACCAAGACCCACATCTACTCTTACGAGCCAGGTCAACAGGTGGCAAATGCTTGCCAACACCAGCTTGATGACGATCATTGTCAAACGACACTTCTGAGATTGGCCCTTCAGTAAAACCTTTGAGATACCTGGTGGTTCCATAACCCTGTGCAATCTGTTTGGATCTGTTCAGGTAAAGGACCTAAGCATGGAGACTGAACTTGGGCACTCTGTCTCTCAAACACACACCGTGCATCCGCAGGCCTTGGCCTTTAAGGACAGTGGTATACCTGCATCAATATTGTTCAGATCTTGGTTAGCAATGTCGGACATGAACCGATGATGCAGGGTTGGACACCAGGATTGGACAATCCAAAGCAAAACGACTGAGTTGGTGGAAACCAGTACAGGGGAATCCCGTTTCCCAAAAAGAATCTGCAATTTGAAACACACCTTATCTGTATGTGGAACAAATCGTGGAATGTTATAAGTGATTGTATACAAGTATGGCATCTCTTCCTTGATCTTCCTTGTTTGTTTAATCAACCTCAAGTAAACAAATTCCAACGACAGACCGTCGACTCCAGAAAACTGAGCTCTCCGACTCACACCGCGGCCGCTGGCCATGCCCGCCAGTAAGGCGTCCGGCGTGGGGCTGGCGCGCAGTGGTATAGCGTAGATTCGGAGATGAGGGATGGTCAAAATGAACTGCCCCAACAAAAATTACGATACGGACAGCAGGACTGTCAACCATCAACCACATAGGTTTAGCGTGTGATCCCTCATATCATATCTTTTGCTTTCACAGCAGTCTATTTGTTCCTTCTGTCATCTAAGTACTGGTTTCCACTGAAATGCTGTTGAAGCATTAACTTTATTTGCTTTGAGGACGGATGAAAGTGATCTGATGACTGGGCTACTTTAAGTTTGGCCAGTTTCAAGAAACATGCAACATGCACCCTCATTTGAGCTTCAATTAACCACAGCTTCGATCATGGCTCATCTTGGAATCCAAAAGTCGCATAAACACCTGTTGCATGCAATCGCTTTACATGTTGTCCTGATTGCGCAGACTTGTGCAAGATTGAATTACACCCATGACCATCCGGTCCGTATGCCCTCACGAAGCGAGCAGCTTGGAAAGTAACTGGATCCAACACCCAAAGTATGGCAAATGTTTGAAAGGAAGCACTATATAAAGAATTTGTACAAGTAATCCAAAGAAACAGTTTGCAGGTCTAATGCTGTTCTAGATTTTCTATTGACCCTAATTCTCTCTTGTTCCTTCTTGCTCCCCCTCTGAGCACTGCAATCAAACGTCTCGTAGCAAAAGACCAACGCCAACTCGTGGCCGCAAAACGTGAAGTTGGAAGACTTCCTCTGCTTCACCTCGGACGATGGACGCTGTTACGAGCTTCCGGGAGTTGGACTCCTGGGGACCAACATGCAAAGAGTGTCGCCGGTTGGCTGATGCCAGTTGGCTGGGGGGTCGCAGGATTGCCATAATTCAACACCAACATGTCAAACCAATTAGGGATCTCCCTAGGACGTCAGTCGTCAATGTTTCTTCGCATAACCGGACCTTGGGCGGATGTCTCTATTTGGAGAAAAGATTTCGGCATGAGTCATGAAGCTGGGCCGTTCAGGCAACTCTCAAGTCTCAAAAGTGATACTTACGGGTCTGTCTGCGGAGGTAAGCACGCGGATTTGGCAAACATACACCAAATCGTCATTGCAAGTGTTCGAAGCAAATGTATGCAAATGTACAGCAACAAACCAATTGGCAATGCAAATCGACCCTTGATAGTTGCCAAACAACCTGCTCGGCAAAAAAACACATCATGCAGAAAACGGTTATCCGTTATCCGTGGTTATCCAACCTCAGCTCTTACAGCAAGGGCAGTCTGAAGTAACAGTACCACCGAAACGAGAACTCTTAAGGATCAATCCTACAAGCAGGATGCCAGGACTTCGGTTTGCGGGACAAGGCGAGATCCATGGAGGAAGCTTTTCAGGCCCAAAGAAATAACAATCCCTCCCATTTCACCAACATCTCTCCGCATGACGCTCGCGCCTTCAAGTGCTCCTGGGCCTCTGGGATGCCTTCCCACTCCTATCCGCGTGTACCACGAGTACGAAACGTCACCAGTACGAAACGGAGCTCCGGTTCAGCAAAGGAGACTCCGTCACGTCGCTGATTGGACCCGGCGGTCAACCGCATTAGACAGCTCCACGGTCCCACCGAATCCACGAGCCATGGAGCCGACCGAATCGTGGCCGAGGTGGTTTCGATTCGGCGAGGACCCTCGCTGCAAACGAAAAGAGTCCTCGGCAAAGCGACCCACGGACAGCCATGGACGAAAGGGGTTGCCCCATGCAGCTTCTGAACGAAACCACAATAGTAAACACAGCATCTATTGAAGATCAAACCGATGAAGAGCAACTTGTGGACATGCCTACCTGGTGCCGTGGGTCCAAACCCTGTGCCCTTCGTGAACACAAGTGTCTTGACTGACAAGCTCCGCAGTTGTGGCACAAGAACTCTGAATTGTTTAAAAGCACATCAAACCCCTCTGGCTGCTTGAATGTCTATGAGCGCCCTAGAAGCTTTATCGCTACAAATACCCTCTGGCTGTTTCTGCGCCAGGGCAAGATGCCCGTCCCACGGTCTTCGCATCCGCAGCTCGACCGTGCTTCCGCTCCTCGTTGCTCACGGTGGCCAGTTCGCGCCTCGTTGCCGGGGAAAGCACCACATGGTAATTCTGGGTCGAACTCCAGAGCGTTTCGTTTGGGCAAACAGTATTTTGATGGGACACATAATTGGAAGATATGTAGTGTTGGTGAAGACTTTGTGCAGCTGCCTTTTCTTTCATGTCACAAGTTTGAGTATTCATCCCATGCTTTACATCTTGTTTCCCATATTTGGATATGATTTGTCAAGGATCTTGTTGACTGTTCTTTATGAGTATTTTGTTTGCCATACACCTACCGCGGTGTAGCAATCCAACCCTGCCGCAAACAAGAAACTACAGGGCCCCTGCCTTACGCAATCTCAAGACTGAAGTATAGACTATATACGTTAAACAATTGAACAAGACAAAGGCCTGCCTAGACCTATATCGAACAATACTTTGTCCGTACTCATACTCGCTCATCAATTCCTTGACTTGACCTGCAAAGAAAGCAACTTGAACTGTTAAGCCGCTTATGTAGAAATCCCATGAAATTCCCCTCAAACGCCGTGATGCCAAGCATATCATCTGACACACTGATCACTTCTTCCGGTTGCACCTCTATCAATGCTACTGAGAAACATGGCCTGAAGTGAATCCACTCCACTCGTTGGTATTTTGAAGAACATGTGTCCATGGACAAAGACCATGTCGGAGAACTTGGGAGATTACAGCGGATAGTCCAGACTTCTACTTGCGAGCTCCAAACAACTCGAGTCTTGCTTGGCATTTGTACAGCTGGGATAGCACAAAAGCATTCCATGCCACTTTCAAGAGAGTGGGCATTCTGATCAGATCGTGAAAAACAAGGTCGTGGGGATACCCTGGACCCCGGACCTTCAGACCACTACAATGTCAATGCAATCATATCATACGTGTTTATTTCCCGAATGCGTAGCGAAGGGTTCTCGTTTAACTCTTGGGGGTCTGGGGGTAGAGCCTTGTTCGCGATCCGTTGTTTCTACGTTCGCAACCGTCCGCAACCGTTCGCAACCGTCCGCAACCGTCCGCAACCGTCCGCAACCGTTCGCAGTAGAGCGCTAAGGCGCTGCCATTGGGGGAAGCTTTTGCAAGTGACCATGCATGGATGTGTCACGTGTGAGTTTGCGACGCGAGTCCATTGTGATTTGCGTGAAAAGGACATGTCGCGCAAGAAGCGTGATGCATTTCGCTGCACAGGCGCAGCGTTTCGTGAGATCCGCAGTTTGCGACGCAGTTCCATTGGGATTAGCGTTTGGAGAGTCGTGTTTTTGGGGTGTTGGATGTGGCCGTGCCATTGGGATTTGCGTTTCAGGGTGTGGCATCGAAGCTCTGTTTTCGTGACAAGTCTCAGCTGAAATGCTGATTTTGGTGGATGGGAGTATGCTCAGAACGGGCCGAAATCATTCCAAACGTGTGGTGTGGTGCAAATTTTGTTGAAGCTCACATGAGATGATATTGTCACTTTTCGTGGCAGGCGCAGTACTTTGTGCGGCTTTTGAGGTGTGGAAGTGCGAATCTCGTGGCAGGTGCAGGGAATCGGGAGGTTGCGAGGTGTGACGGAGGTGACATTTCGCGGCAGGCGCAGTACTTTGTGCGGGTTAGACATGTGGATGCGGAAAGATTCGTGGCAGGCGCAGGGAATTGTGAGGTCGTGAGTTGTGGTAGAAGTGAATGTCGCTGTCACAGTGGGATTGGCGTGTGAACGGGTGTTGTTTGGAGGGGCTGGACTCGCGAAACTGCTTGGCAGGGCTGCGTGATGTGTGTG